CTCATGTGCGAGAACTATCGCTACGTCAAGGTCATGAAGGAAGGCGACAACATGCCTTTTTTGGAGGACCCGGTGAAACATTGGCTCCAGGCGGGAAGGAGCCTAATATCAAGTGGCATCATTGAAAAACACAAAGGATTCCATTTGGAGATGTGACGACAATTGTTACTAAACTCGAATCCAACAAGAAACAGGATTTGGATTATTATCAAGCTCCATGATCCGACTTCTCGCAATATTCTTATTGCCAAGCTTCCCGTTCTCAAGTTTGAGTTCTACTACAACCCAGATACGGTTGTCTCCAACTCTGATCGGGCTAGAGCAGAAGACCGGGCCATGAGGAGACGTATGAAGGGATTTGGTGCGATGGTACCAAAGCCCGATACACAAGCCAGAGAGAGTCCGATAGGCGACGAGGACATCGGCTCGCCGGCTCCGGTCCGATTTGGTCTCTGGCGCCAGACGGAGCTTGAGGAGGCCGCACCCGGTGGGGAGTTCCTCCTTATCACCGTCTTCTGGTTCCAAGCATTCAACATCGTCCCAATTGAGATCAAAGCATTCAGAGGACCGGAGCCACCCCAGCCAGAGGGAGAGGTTGGCAAGGCCGGCTAAAGCAATATCCCGTTTTTCGACAGGATTAGTGGCCGCTCGAAAGAGGGCATCCAAGTCAGAATCAAGACAGCGGACGTGGCGATCCAAAAGGGCCATGGAAGGTTTGGGGTCGTCTCCTAAGCGGGACACCATTCCTTTGGCCATGAAGGTGTACTGAAGACTGTCAGTGGGACGACAGTCTTGGTACAGAAGTTTGTTGTCCCTTGTCAGGTAAGCCTGGTCTGGTTTTGCAGTGAGAGCGTCCAACGCATGGAACTGAGAAGTGTTAAATAAAGCAAAATGTGCTCTATCGTGAGTGCCTTTAGCGCTCAGAACAAACTCTCTGCAATCTAAATTCGTAATCGATTGTACAACACTTTCACGACAATAGTTCAAGTGGAATATCCGATCGAGAAGAATATCTTGTATCAGGATAACAAAGCGCGATTCTACTGGAAGAGAATGGTCGCAAGAGCGCGGGCAAAAGAAGCCGAGCTATCAATATTCGTTATTTCTTTATCACAGATCAAGTTGAGAAAGGAAATGTTAAGATCGAATACTGTCC